GCAGGGTCAGCTCGAGCTGGGTGTCTCTGGATAAGAGAAATCCCCGAGTAGTTATACCCTTACAGACCATTCACCTGCCCCTCACACAATGGTTCAGTTAAGTAGTAGTATTTGGGTCTAGGGTCTGCTTGTTCCTCATTGGATTCCTTCGCCGTGTTCAGACAGGTCGTTACCTTGTCTAACTGCAGATGCTGTTGATGGTTGCAGCCTCGAAGCCTCTGTATCTTCTGATTTAAGCTGGCTCTGGAGGCCCTGTTTTGACTAAGTGGGTACACATACAGTAAATCCGAGTGGAAACTCACAGCTTGCGGCCTCAGGCTTCAGCAAACCTAGCTGCTCATGCTAGTTAGGTAAAGCTAAGCAAACCATACTGAATCACACAGTAGTATCACAGAACCATAGAATGGTTTGAGTTGGAAGGGACCTGAAAGATCATCTAGTTCCAACCCCCTGCCATGGACAGGGACACCTTCCACTAGATCAGATTGCTCAAAGCCTCATCCAACCTGGCCTTGAACGCTTCCAGGGATGGGGCATCCACAACTTCTCTGGGCAACCTGTGCCAGTGTTTCACCACTCTCATTGTAAACAATTTCTTCCTTATATCTAATCGAAATCTACTCTCTTTCAGTGTAAAGCCATTGCCCCTTGTGCTATCACTACACACCCTTGTAAAAAGTCCCTCTCCAGCTTTCCTGTAGGCCCCTTTCAGGTACTAGAAGGCTGCAATAAGATCACCCCGGAGCCTTCTCTTCTCCAGGCTGAACAGCCCCAGCTCTCTCAGCCTGTCTTTGTAGGAGAGGTGCTCCAGCCCTCGGATCATCTTCGTGGCCCTCCTCTGGACCTGCTCCAACAGGTCCATGTTGTTATGTTGGGGCCCCAGAGCTGGATGCAGTACTGCAGGTGGGGTCTCATGAGAGCAGAGTAGAGGGGCAGAATCACCTCCCTCATCCTGCTGGCCACGCTTATAACTCTAAGTGATTTATTCTATTTAAAACTTGCTTATTTAAGCTAAACAACTAATATCTCTCAACAGTGAGAGGTGTCCCTGCTAAAGGGGTGAGTTGCCTGCCGTGCAGTCCGGTTGCCGTCCAGGGACAATTCAAAGTGGGCTCTTTCAGCCATCCGTCACTGGTAACGGATCTCGCTGCTCCGAGGAGCACCCTTGAGCGACGTCCCCGCTTGAGGGGAGACCATCGCTGTGCAGCCGTGCTGCCTCATAGGGAGAGCTCAATGGCGGTCACTGAGGCTATCATATTTATGGGATAAAGCGCTTGGCTCCCAGTCAAATTGCGTGCACCGGGAGAGGTATGTACGAGGCTCCTTATGCCCACAGCTCGTCGGGTGTTGGCTGTGTCGCTCCACTCCTTGCAGGCTTCTGAGGGTAGTTCTTGGTCAGGCTACGGCTCAGCCTCCATTGGAGCCTGTATGGAGCTGCGACTGGTTTGGTTAGTGGTGGGGAGGGGTCGAGTGCATCCGTCACATCTTCTTCTGAAAAAAGCATAGCTCATGGGTATGGTGGCTTAAAAACGAGAAGGGTTATAAATCTATTGTCAGAAGAAAAGTGTAAATGAAAAGTTACTCGCGGTGGATAGCTATGAAACAGGGGCTGGAAAAGTTCCTGTGCAATGATACTAATTTTGTTTAATTTCTTTTTAAGCTAAAGTGGACATACAGATAGGTAACCAACTCAGCTCTTTGCACTTTTTTTTTAAAAAAAACAGCAGTAACGGTTTGTTTGCTTACACTGAATAAACAGAAACATATTACTAAAACTTAAATATCTTTAGTATGTTGATGTTTCTGTGCGTCTTTATATATATAAAATTAGGTATTTTATATTAAGATTTTCAAGTGGGTGCTAAGATTTTTATGGAACACTCCTAGCTAATAAGAACGTTCCTCTGTGGGAGGAATTTGTAAGTCAAACTAGTGGTAAAAATTAACATTACCCATTCAAGATTAAAGCACACCCACATGTATTTGTGTGTGTAACAAAAGAACATAATACATCCAAGGGCACCATCTGCTGACAGGTTCAGGGTGCCAAATGCTTTCATGGATTTTCAGATGTAGGGACTGTACATTCAGACTTCACATATATTAGAAAATATTCATAATTAGTTTTGGTTTGATTTTAAGGGGAGCTCAGACTTGGTATTGCTACAAATTCATTTTGTTTGAGATTCATTTTTTGAATAGTGAGGTTTTGGTCTGATTCTTTTCCTTCTGCAAGAATTAGTCAGGAGTTCTTTTGCTAGAAACTGTCTTGAAAGTGTCCTCCGTTGGACAAGAGAGCAAGACACATCGTTACATAAAGAATATTACGCAATGTTGAATCAAAGCAAAGTGAAAAATTCTTCTACCATTTTTTTTCCTTGTTTTGTTTCAAAGCATCCTTATCCTGATATTTAGGTGGAATTGAGGAGATCAAATAACTGTAGAAAACCAGGCAGTATGACCAACAATATGCTGCAAGTCACCGTAGTATTTCTTTTTCTTCAGGCTGATAACTTTCTTTTATGGCACACAGCACATGCACTTGTTTGTATCAACTTACTGTCAAAATGTGCAAGGATGGAAACTGCCATTTTGGAAACAGTGTGATTTTAAACATCAGATTAGCAGAGAACAGCTCACAGTACAGGATATTCTGCTGGGAACTAGGAATTCATCAGAGCTGGGACAGAACACAGTATCACAAAGCTACCCAAAGCTACAGGATTTATAGCTACCATTTTATCAGAATTTACAGCTGGTCTGGACATCAGTGGGCAGTTCCTAATAAGCGTCCACTGATTATCTTCTTATATTATTAGTTTTCTTAACTTAGAGAAGAGTACAAGAGATGGTTTTACAAAAAGCCTTCATTTATGCAACAATCACATAATTTAGTTGCAGCATACGAATTTTCTCTGCTGCCAGGAATTTGATGGATTTTGAGAAAGGTTTTATTAAGCACAGTGACTGCTGCCTATCCAAGGGGTGCCTCTACAGCAGATGGCATGTCCCATTATCCTTGCTTGTTTTCACCTGTCTGTCCTTGCACTTCCAGCTCTTTTATACAGAATTCTGTGGCAGAAAAGCAAAGCTATCTGAAGAAAAGACTGAATGATGAGATGTTCCAGTTCAAAACACTTGTACATTCATGTTACACACAAAAAGATATTTTTTTATGACAAAAGAATTTGAATGACATACACTGCAAAGAATATTAGTTTCAAGTGCATTTATTTTGAAATAAACAAGAATATTATATGCATATATTCATATTTATATTAAATAACTTATTATTAAATATGAGGGGGGAAAACTCTTAAAAACTAATCCAACACTTTCACATTCTATTTTATATTAGGTGACTACAGTTAGGAAATGTATAGAAAAATGATAAAATTGTCTCAAGCCAGCCATAAAAGCAAAGTGCACTATTGCCTAGGCAGTGGAGGAGAAAAATGATGATGGTGCTGCTGCTTCCTCCAAGGGGAGGATCATTTTGTGTGGCAGTAGTCAATGAAGAGGAAGGAGGGCAACCCCTTTAACAACTCCCTATCCTTTCTTCCCATTTTCTGTCCTTCATCGCTGCATTAGCAAATTGGGTTTTGCATATGCTGACAAGAAGCAGCGAGACAGTTCTGTGTACCACGATGATACACTGAATACAATTAATTCCCCAAATGATCACACAGGAATTGCAGCTTATCCGTGTTTTGTTGTGCCTTTATCTCAATTTATTGGATTTTTCTTGTTGTTGGTAGTTTAAGGACGCCAAGGTGGAAATAATGTGTTTAACATGAAATATTAACTAAAGTAGTATCCTTCAAAAGCTTTCTGAACTGCCTTTTACTCAGATAAAAGCCCCACCTAGCACATTTTTTTCCTAAGATTCCCAGAGTGGAATTTCTTAAAAAACATCTTCCTTTTCATTTTGTTTCGATTTTTTAGCAGAGATAAATCTTATTATAAATTAAATGTTTCTAAACGTAGGTGTACTTACACAGATGCTATACATCTTTTCTATTCACATGTGATGTAAGATGGTATTTGAGCAACATGTGGACTAAATACAATTTTGAGAAGTTTGCTTACAGGTGTTTGAAGTAATAAAAGATTTAAACCCATTATTTTGGTTGTATCTTAAGTGTCAGACTCCACCAAATATTTGCCTTCCTGATAACAATTTATTGACATTAGTTTTAGTGTGTGTGTATTCAGCTAGAACTATTTCAAGGCACGGATTGTTCCTAAACGGATACAGACTTATGTAATGTCCAGTGAATCTTTTCAAAAAGGATATAAGAAATATGTGTTCCTGATTGTTTGGGTTTAATTCACACTGCCTAACAATCATCTTGAAAGGGAGTAAGGAAAAACGCTGCTGCTGAATAGCAAAGAAAAAATTTAGATAATATGAAAAACAAAGGTAACAGTGTCGTTACCACTGTTTTAGTAACATCTAAACCTACAGGGCATGAAAGGGCATAGTGGCTACTGATTGTCTTGTAGTCTCCATAACCTTTGTAAGGTCTAAATTATGTCTAATATTTTATGTGTAATATTCAAATAATATTACTTAGTGAGTGTTGCTCTATATTGCTGCATGCATTCGTGTTTTGTTTTGCTTTTTTGTTTGACACAAACACAAGTTATTTATCTCTTTTTCAGGTACTGCATTCCAGAGTAGCCAATTAAACAACTATAATTTCTACTCAGTGCCACATCTTACTTCATATAAAAGTGCACTATTCACAAGAAACACATGAAGTTTACACTACCAGAAATATACCAGTGAATTTATACATATAGCAATTAAATTTATAATAAATATTACAAAGTGTATATTACTTGAATTATGTGAATTTGAATATTTTGACTTTTCTTCAACATACTGCTCATATGACATCTTAAAATCTGTACTTTTTTTTTTTAAAGGATAAATTAATAAATATGATAGTAAGACTTGGAGAATCTGAACATTACAGTCCATACAGTACCTTTCCTAGGCAAATACCTATCATTCACATTATAACCGTAACAGCTTTACTCTTTTTAAAGTAACAGCTTTGTTAGCTTCTCAGAATTTAATATGTACATTCAACTCGTATATAATTGTTATACTACTTAGCGTATTCTCATTCTCAATTTAGCACAAACTTTTAATAGTACTTTTCTGAAAGCAAATTCACAGTCTAAGCTCATGTCGGACAGTTTCTCTTCATTGTCAAAACGTTTGCCTACCCAAGGGTAAAACTTATGTTTATTTTCTTTTAAATGACAAACATATATCAAAATAATAAAAAATAATATTAAAATGTATTCTTAAAAAAAAGACTTCTGACAATCAGGTGATAGTTTGTCATTTAAATAAAATACATACTTCAAAGCGGTTGTAAGAGTTGATGATCACTTCATTAAGTGAAAAAGAAGTCCTGTGTTTTCTACTGCAGCTGGAAGATTCATGATTCACTTGGGTTAGTTTGTTCTTCATTAAGAATTCATAGGAATAAACAGAGTTCTAGCCAGAGTAGATAATCTTACTTCCTTCACCTCAGCATATCTCGTCTCCGAAATTGCTTCCACAGATCTCTGAGATGTTCACTGGTTACAGTCATCACACAAGAGTAATATTCCTTCCAACCATACCTTGGAGTCTCCTGTGAAAAGTAAAACATACAATTGGAAAGACATCGTTCACTAAATTCCTTAATACTACATTAAATTTTACTCCGATGTATACACACTAGATATATGCTTTAATATTAAAATCATGAAAGATCAAATACTTCTGTGGCTCAGAAGTACTTCTGTAAAATGAGGGTTATAAATCCACACACAGGTTAACTATTCAAAATGCATCCTCACCTCACAGCACACAGTTAGCATTCAACAAACAGCCTATGTATATTAAAAGCTGTAAGAAAGGATTTCCTCTTTATTCAGGTGTGTCCTGCTCTCTCTCTAGTTTCGTTTCTTGTTTCTCCGTGTTGACACTGTACTAAAAAATTTACCTCCAACACCATATGAGAAGCACAGAAAATTACTAATGTTCATGAAACTGAAGCATTGGCAAAAGCTAAATACAAAATAGGCGGATGATATGAAAGCTGCTTTATACTAGGTTACTTTAACCCTAAACTGCACTGTAGTTCATTTTAATAAGTGTCCACTGAGTCGAGAGGAATATTGTCCAAAGGCTGGCCTGAGAGATTCACTAGAATCTACGCTGTCTGCAGTTATCACCGGATCTCATTATTTCTTCAGCTAGTCTCAACCTCACAAGCGTATTTTGAGAGTAAGTACAGAAAGATGGAAAGGGGCTAAGTATTACATCAACTGGGGAAAGAGGCTAAGTAAGGAACAGGAATTGTAATTGTAGGTAAGTTAGAAGCATTTACAAGTAATTTTAAATTGTAATCCACCTTAGAAATTTAAGTCCAGTATCTGGAGGTAAATGGTTACAGTGCCAAGGTAGGAGATTGTCTGATAGCTTATTTTGTTGAACTGACTGAAAAAGTTAAAAATATTGCAACTGCAGAATATTAAAACCAACCACTAGACAGTGAAGCCTACATTTTATTTATTCTTGTTACTCATCTTGTTTAATTAAAAAGCATATAACATTATGCAGAAGATGTAAATATTCAGGAAACAATCTGATCCACAGCAGTACATAATCCAGACTTTAAATGAAATACTAGAAATGATACTTACATGAATGCATAATTTAGTTGAGATTTATGGTCAATCTCACGAAAAAAAAGCATTACTTGCAAAATGCATTGCATTATTTAAGAAAAGCACATTCAGTTGATTAACCAGTGCTTTGAGATATGCATTTATTTTTTATTTTATGAAACAGGTTCAGAGAAATGTTCAAGAAAATCAGTAAAATAAACTGAAGTACATTAACTGTTCATCTACTTATTTCTAATGTAGGCATTGTTGCTGTATCTACCCTCAGTGTACCAAATCCATAGAAAGAACATTTTGTCCACATACTCTGCAATGCTTTCACATTTCACTGGAACATTTTCCTCCCACTGTACCCAGGTATGTTATAAGGTTCTGTTCAATTTTAGGATCAAAAGTTAGGATCTGGGTTCTGTAATTTCCAGTTACTTTTGTAAGAGGAGTCAGTAAGGCGTGCCTATCATACATTTTCCACTTTATTTGCTTTAGAGCAGAGGTAAGCAACAGTCTCTTCAACTAGTAAGCAACAGCCTCTTCAGGTTTGTTTTTGTTTTTTTTTTTTAAGTTATCTCTTATGATAGATATATTCAATTGCTGTATATTAGGCAAGAATGGAAATTAAAAGCTTTCAAAGTATTAACTACATGACACATCTTAATGTTGCTTGACTGCAATTTATTGTTGAAACATGACTAGCAATGAGGTTCTGAATCCATGCTTAAGTCTTTCATGTCTTTCTCAAAATGACATTTCCTTCTACAACCCAATCAGTCTCAAGACTATTACTTCCTAAAATCTTTTAATCAGAAATTTAGAAGCCCCACAAAATGCAGAACATCTGTACAACTTCTTCTAATGCAAAAATCTTAAGATTTTCAAGAAATTACTGTGACTTACAACTTACTTTCTAGATTTACAATTGTGACATATAATATTTATTTTCAATACTTCAGAAGTGAAAAAAATTGGAATTATAGTTCAAGTATTTATTACAGGTTCTGAGCCACACAAATAGTTTAGCCAACAGTACTTTCTGATGGACTTGAATCCTTCCTGCATTTGGCCTCTAGCATCCATCTTCAGAAATTAACTCTGAAAAGGTTTTGTTAGAAATTTCCTAGATAACCCTTCCACAACGCATTCGAAGAAGAGCTCTCCTCTCAGCTCTGTTTGGCAGTTCTGTACTGACATATCTTTTCTGCCCTCCCTACAGTATACGCGAAGGAGTACCTGCCGATGCCAAGTCAGGCTGTGTGCCCTGCAGGGAGAGCAATGCAGAAAGACAAGCTCTCCCAGAACACTGCCAGCTGTTTGGACCACACAGAGCTTGTACAGTTGTTCCCCAAGGAGAGATTTTCATTATTTATTATAAGGGTATAACGTTTTTTACGCTGTGAAGTAAATTGCATTAGTGCAATTTAGAGAGACATAATGTACAGCATAATGTGCTGTTTATCCCTTTTCAAGGTGCAGATTCAAAGTACGGTATAATTTGTGGTACTTATGCCAAGTATCTTAATCTTTTTTATCAGAGTTCTATGTTTGCCACAGAAAGTATATCAAAGCACAGACAATGATCTGTACATTTATATTTGGAACCAAGTAAAATTAAGAGTTACTGTATTGCACCTAAGTTTAGGACATACATTTCACATACATCTATGTGTTTCTTTGTATATTAGACTGAAATTTAATTACCCAATTGAAATTGTTCAGTTTCACTAGGTCACCTCTGCACTATGTCAGTGGGGCTGCCTGTAGCCAGGTCAGTGCACCGAGAACTAACCTGGTTTCTCTGTACTGTCTCCCAGTGCGTTGTGGAGACATACTATCACTCGACGTTAAATTTTTTTATTGAGAATGACTATACAGAGTGAACAAAAATCTCCCTGTGTAATCTCCACTGTATTTTTTTACTCACTTTACTTCATCTCAACAGATTTAATTTATTGCCTGAGTTCAGATGTCTGTCAAGGTGTCCAGGTATATAAACTTGACGCTTTTACCACAGTCTTTCTTTTTGTCACCAAGCTAATTTTATTTGCCTCAATTATTTGACATTGAATTCTTTTCTGTCACACTGCATTTTGAGCCAGTTGGTCACATACTCTTCACTGAAATTATCAGGAAAGCATCGTGACTGTGTAACATTTTGCCAGTTTTCCTGTAAAAGCTGTTCCCTATCTTGGAAAGTTTATGCCATACTTGATATGCAACTATAATATAAGCTGTGGCAGAATTAGTGGGGACAAAAAGACAAAGTAAGTACTCCTAATAGAATGATTTATAAAAGACATGGGAAAGGAAGAAAGGAAGAGCCAAAAGTTTCAAAGAGATTAAATTACATAAAATTAGTCTAAAGCCATGAATTTCTTCTTATGTGACTGGTGAGTTGGGATTACTGAAATGTTAACTATTTAATTAGTCGTTTACACTTCCCCTTAATCAGGTAGAGAAACCAGATGCTTTGTTAAGATCAAATTTCCTTTTCTGTTCTTCACATAATAATACAATGCTTCAGTATGTGGGTTATACTCATAAAGAGGAAGTATAATTAAAAAAATATTAATAGTTAAAATAAAAAAGAAATAATCTATGGATGCTAAATTTTAGAAGAGAAGAGTATATGCAGATCAAACAGAACTCTCATCTCCTTCCTAGGAGGACAAATCAGCTGCGTAAGCCTGGACGTGCCCCAAGCTATCTTTACTGCTGAATGTCAAAGAACGAGACTGTTCAAAAGATGTGATGCTTCACTGAAAAAAAAAACGGTATGAAGAATCCCGAAGAACATAATTTAGGATACATGACATGCTGTGCCACAGGAATAGATCAACAGTTTACATATATTCCCTCTACCTTACTGATCTTGCACAGAAGTCTACAAAAGAAAAACATCAGTGCAACTGGTGGGCTCCCAGTCTGAGTAAACGGACCCACCTCTCATCCTTAGAGACTTAACATTTTCGACTGTGCTAGAAGCCAACCATCACCTCAAATAAACAAGGTACAAGAAACTTCTGCTTAGCATACCTACATTCCTATCCTGCTGTGCTGTTTCACAGTTAGGGAAGGAAGATTTAAACCAGCGCCCCAGCACGCTCACCGGCATGCAAGTGCTCAGAGAGGTCTGTGATAGAAACAGGGAGGACCCAGAAGGCCAGATAGCAATATGTTGATGTATGGAGGCATCTGAGGATGTTACTTGTCAAGAAAACACAGCTTAATATTGTCCCTCAGAATTAAAAACAGGAGCATTAATTCTGGCCCAGGAGCATGAGGTATGCTGGCTACTCCATGGTGTCCACCCATACCAGACCACCAGCTACAGGGCTGTTTGTCATGGCATACACCTCTTTGTTCCTCCCCGCTGCAAAATAATACATCTGGGACATACCTTAGCTGTTAACAGCCTCTGCAGCAACTACTGCAAAGTCTGGAAATATAGACATGAAAAAAGGGCTGGACCAAAACCTTAAATTGCTGAGGAGCAAGGTCTTGCTTTATGTAAGAAGAGAAAAGTCCACTAATGCATTTCTGCTGTGTCCATTGTGTGACAAACAGTTTCACAATATGGCCACAGAATATGCACGCCTCAGTTTTTACACTGAAATCCACAATACAATCTAATTGTAAGAATGAATATTCATGTAGCGGATACTCAGAAACAGCCATAGTGGTCATGTGTGGGCACAGGTTCGATTTTTGAAAATTTCTGGTATAGCATTAATCAAGCCAAAACCACATTACTGTTTGCAAAAGTGTAACTGTATAAATCAAAGTAGAATCAAGTTACTAACAGTCTCTCAGGAAGAAAAAAATCTGCCTCTACAATCTGCACTGGTAAATAATTACTAGCTATAGGTACCTGCGGAATTACTTCAAAAGTGTCACAGGACAGACAGAAAACAGCAACAGAAACTATGAAAGAATACTTTTCCTTATTTCCAACACCGTACAAAATCACAGCTGACTTACAAAACAGTGACAGTGCGAGTCAATCATTGCCAACTCCAGAATAAAATCCTATTGCTTCAGTCAGAAACACAACGTGACGCTTTGAGCTACTACATTGCTTACAGTCAGATAACCTGTTCCTGAATTTTGGAACGGGAAACAAAGCAGCGACAGTTTAACACTCAGCCATTCCTGCAAGCATGCCAGCACACTCAGACTGGGTGGCTAACACATACCGTCATTTATCTGCTATAGAGTTCCTTCCTCACGCAGGATTTGAAAGTAGTATACCTCTGTATAGGTTTGTAGCCCTGTGGAGCAGAAGATGGAGAAGAGCGCAGATGCAGACAACACGTGAAGGCAGCCAGAGGTAAGCGTAAGACAACGGCATCATGAAAATACAAAAAAATGTCTTTAAGTGACGAATAGCTAGAAGATACAGTATAGTATGTGCTAGGTAAAATGTTTATAATTTAGTCATTAAGTTCCAAATCTTTCAGTTTAAAAATGGAATTTATAAAGGAAAGGGAATCTTCTTATATATTTTTCAATTAAAAAAAAAGAAAGAAAGGAAATAACTACTTTAAACCAAACAGCAAGCAAAAATAAAGCTATTAATGTCTGAACATCGTAATAAGTTTAATGGCAATACTCTGACTGACCACTTGATGGCGGCTTAATATGCTAGTTTGTTTCAAACTACTAAAACCAAAAAAGGTTTCAGGTTGTAATACTATGTTCCAGAAAGAGAGAAATTTAATTTGATAAGCTCTTTAAGACATTTACTTTTCAAAAAAATATCTAAAATATATGTTAAATTGAGTATTTGTTATGTTCCTATAAGGGGTAGTACCCAACCTTCCTCAAGTTGCTAAGTTAAGCTTTTAAATAGGACAAAGCTGGTAGATACTGACTGACCTTTCAGAACTCCAGTTTTATTGGACTTGTGTAACTCTTTGCTCTTAAATATGTTTGCTTTAATCAGACAACGTAACTACAAAATGCTCTTTTCTAAAATACATGGTCCTAGTACCAAGTGCAGTGATGCCCTCGAGATTCTTCTGGGCAAACAGGTTAGTAAAATAACTTTTAAAAAAGCTGAATTACTAAGTACAAGATGTTAATTGTAAAATCGTACTTCAAATAACAGGCCTATTTTAAACTGTTATTTTTAGATGTTTTTAGAGTGATAATCAGAGACTATACTGATTTGGTCAGGCGAATTAATATTAAAATGAGGCATTTACACTTTATAAAACAGGCTCAAATCTCTTACGGCAAAAACTTCCATGTTGCTACAAAACACTACATACACAGAAGCTATAATGTTTTTTTATCTGTATAATAGACTGGACTAAATCTTAATATGGATTCAAAACATAGTTATTAACAAAGAAACGGTTAGAGATTTGTTAGTTTTGATTTAGCACAAGACAACATTTGAGCCCTCCACATTGTAGGAGCAAGAGGGTAAATTTTTACTTGTTCTGGCCACACTAAATACCGTGTAACTTCTAATGTACAAACAATAGGAAACAATTAATGACACTTTTCGCCAATTTGTTCTGAGCAAAACATTCTTACGTGTTTTCTTCTTTTCATTTTAAACCACGATTGGGGTGGGTGGGTGGGGGGTATTTATTAACTCTGCAAATATTTACAGATTTTTACTACTACCCACTCTTGGAAAAATCTGGTTTGTGGGACATGAAAACTTACTGGAAATTTTAATTCCCAAGTTTGGTACTGTAATTGTCTTGGGATACTAATGATTAGTGAAGAGAATGCATTTTTCTGAATAATTTAACAAGTCTGCATGTAGGCATGTCTGAATATAACTGAATTATTGGACCAAATCATGATTATCTGCTATGCAACCCAGGCGATACTGCATATCTGATTAAAATTAGACGTATCATTTATGAATGATGGTGCTATTCTTCTGAACATCCTTGGCTATTCTTTATAGTTCTTTTACAGTCCACTGGAATATTTTATAGTGGCCTAGGCAAAAGAAAGATACATGCATAAGACTGAATAGTGCTGGACGATACAGATTCTTAAAGATTATATGTGATTTCTGTCATGCATTTTGTGAAATAGAGACATGTAATACATTTACAAGAATTACTTAGTAAGCAGACTGTTTTCTGGTAAAATTAACATACACCGCACACTTACAATTAGTAAACAATTAAAACATATAGCTGAACATCTTGAAACAGTTATGAAACAATCATCATTCCCACACCATAATAAAAGGAATTGAGGACCAACAAGGAAATAAGTTTGTTACAAAGGTAGTGGTTTGAACGCATTCAATCATAGTATTACAAAATTAACAAGTAAACTATTAGACTCAACACCACTCACAGAAAGTTCTAAAATGGCATTTAGGAAGCTAACTAAAACCGACTAAAATTATAATACATACCGAAATGCGAATTTAGGAACCATAATAAAGTTTAAAATTTATGTCTAAGGGAGTACGTGGTCAGTAAGAACATAATTTTACATTGAGTTAAAAATGTTAACACCTGACCTATGAAGAAAATGGTGACTTTTATTGATCATACTTGGAAAAAAAATTTTTCTTCTACTATAAAATTCTCCTGTACCACACAGAACCTGAAGAGGGCAGCAAGGCCTATACATTCACCTAAAAGGCAAAGCATGATTTACAAGCTTGTTCGCTGTGAAAATTTTCTGCAAGTAATTTCCTGCCCTCTAGCTTCTCGTAATTTAAGATATTAGATGCAGGGTTAAATTATCAAAAGCAACTTTGAACTAGAATATAGCATTGTTCAGCACCACTTCACTTCACTTAACAGCTACCCTTGTTAAAATTCTTAATGCCAATTTATCAATCACACGATACAGAAGAAATGGCAGTATGCAGAGGATTTCTCCAATTCGGTTTGTGTACTATAAAGGTATGTTATGTCCTCTATGTATTACCTTCTAATAAAAACCCCAAGAATATAAGAAGAATTTATCTAACAAACTGCTTCAGGATTTCTATAAAATACATGTCTTTAAACATACTCACTGTCAGTTTACAACCTACTGGTGCTACAGGTGCTAAAGTAAGTAGTGGTAAGTAGTAAAGTCAACTAAGATAGCTATAAAAATTAGAATTCTTACCCTAAACCCTCGATTGAGTCTGTCTTTCATAATGCCGATAAATTCTTTATAACTCAACTGGTCATCTCTGTCGACATCAAAAATCTTGAACACTGTGTTCACCAAATGCGGTGAAAGTTTCACACCTGTGGCTACATACACAGCACGTTTGAATTCATCTGCATAAAGAGAACATCAGAAGAAAAAACAGAATACATGAATTTAACCCTACTTCATGGACAACATATTATGAAATACAAGTAAACTTTTAACTTGAGTTTTCACATTTAAACACTCAAAAAATAAAACTGAATATCAGGATTACATTTCACAGTTCTAAAACAAGTAGTTCTCAACTGATAAAGAATGATACTGTTTAATTAGTATCAATTATTTTACATAAAAGATAACATTTTATATACTATACTATGTGTAACAATAAAATTAGAAAATCATTCTATAATTAAACCTATGTTACATATATACTGATGGCATCTACGTAATTGACACGAAACAGAACCTCAGAAATAAAGCACAGAGAGAACAGTATACTCCTTTGGTAAGGCCAGATGAGGTAGGACTATGCAGGTGTTACTGTGTCAGACCCCTGAAGATGCTACTTGAGGAGAGCACACAAGTCTGACCACTTCACATATTCTTTACCCTGCACTTCCTAAGCATCTCAACTGCCGTATTAAGGATTTTAGTGAGTACATACCGGCCTAATTCTTTCAGCACCCACTTAGTGATTTGTTCAAAAATCTGTCTAATCCCTTTTTGGGCCTTCTTACACTGTTTCCTTCTACAACCTTTGTAGAAGGCCAGATTCCAGATGCCCACTGTGTAAAGAAATGCTTTTGTTTACTTTAAACTGATCTCTTACTGGTGTCATCAAGTGTCTTTTAACTCTTGTATTCTAGGATTTGGTGACAAATTATTCCGCATTCAGCTTATCCACCACTTGTATGACTTTGCAAAGCTTTATTGTATCTCTTATGATACGACCGAGCCTTCTCCTCTCAAAGCTGGAGTCCTAGCCTTTTTAGCCTTTTACCCGAGACATTAAAACTACAAACTAGGAATTACAAAACATTTTTGTACTTTTGTCAACAGTTCTGTGTCTTTATCAACTGAATTCCATAAATATGTAAAGACTTACCTTGACCTATGGAACGACTTGCAAAATTATACATTTGCATTGCAATCGTAAAGTCTTCTAGGTTGTTCAAGAATTGGAAAAATGATCTAAACTCATCAAATGTGATACCCTAAAAAAGAGAACAATATGCACCATAAGAATTATCAGTAGTGATGATAACTGAATAAATAAACCTTGCAGCTACATATGTTGACTTCATTTAAGAATAGATACTGCACTCATTTTAAAAAGCAGAGATTTTTACTGAAAGTCAATAAAGAATTGGAGTCTCCTGAGGAATCCAAGATGTCTTTCCTCTTTGCCACTGCAACGGATAGTAATTCTCACCCAAAAAGCAGACAAAAATATTGTTCCATTGCTTAAGGCAATCTTTTAAATTCCAGGATTATTATGATATAAAGTTAACACTGAGAATTAGTCTAGGTTTGTATGAATATTGGAATATGTTTACTACTGAAAATCTGCAAACCATTATTATATGCTCCCTCCCTGGAGACGTTCAAGGCCAGGTTGGACGAGGCCCTGAGCAACCTGATCTAGTTGGAGATATCCCTGTTCCTTGCAGGGGGGTTGGACTAGATGACCTTTGAAGGTCCCTTCCAGCCCTAACCATTCTATGATTCTATGATTCTATATATATTTGAGCATGTGTGCTCACACAAATACATTGAATGAATACATAAATACATGTTATGATATAACTTAAACTCTGTGCTTTAAAATATATCCAGATTTAGACACCAAATTTTCTTCAGCTGATACTCCTATGTACCAAGTATTGCAGAGTTTGTCCAGCTTTTAAAAAAATCCTCTGCATGTTGACCAGATTTCAGGATATCTTCTGTAAAAGGTTCTCTGAAACTGCTGTTAAAAGAGCTTGTTTTTTTCTTCTTTCCTTATGATATTTGTTCTGCTTTTCCCTCATTTTAGCTACAAATCAAAAGACCCAATCTTTTAGACTATCTCTAAATCAATTCTGAAAGAGACCTTAGACAGAGACTTTGAATTAAGCCAGGACGATTGCCTGCATCTCACTCTCCATGGTCTGTCCACCATTCTGAACACGGGATGGCATTCTTTGTCAAACCTTGGTCTTCCTAGCCTCCTTTAAGTATCATTCCTGGCTGTTCTTCTGCCTGCTTTTATCCTTTTATTCTGTTTAACTACTTCTCTCTGAAAAAAACCCTGAAGTTTCTGTTCAAACTAAAATCTTGACCTATGTCTCTCCTCAAAGACATACATATCATTATGGTATGGTAGAACACAAAAAACATACTGAAATAGGCTTGTGGCAGAGGAGAAAATGGCAGAGGTTGGATGTAAACCCATATGAAACAGCAAGTACTGTCATAAATGTGGTCATCAACATAACATTGTTAAAATAAAAGACTTTAATAGGCGTCCATCCACTTGAGATATAAACCTCTGCTTAAGTGATCCTACCTGACCTCTAGCTAAGAGTTACAAACTGTTTCAGTGGAGAGCTTGACCCATCTCCGTCATGAACTGCTCTACTCAACAAGCATATTTGTTCTCTGTTTCATCCTTTGCATTTGGGAGGAAACTCTCGTAGACACAAGCAGAACCACCTCTTTATTCTCCTTTAAATTTTTATCTTAAAAGTTTAATTTACTAATACTAACCAATGCTGTCTTCTTGTTTTATTGCATTTGACATCTAATAGTTTATGTCCAAGTTCTGTTTCTTGCACTCTGTTGAGACTGGAAACTCTCTGGGACTGTGTGGGAAAATGACTGAAATCGATGGGGAATGGGAGAACATTGTTCCCCAGAATTCAGCTAATATTAGAGCAGCTCTGACATGAAGCACAGCTCCTGCTCTCAGGAACAAACAAGGCCTCAATAT